CAAGAAGAAAAAAGAAGCATGTCAACCGTGCTAGGGATTCCAACAGGGCTAGAGAGCACCTTTCACGTACCAGGTGCTATGTTTGTCTCCACCAAGATCTTTTTCGTCGTTCTAGGGGCGGGAACAGTCAGGCGTGGGAGTTTTCTTCTGAGTCAGGTATTGGGGGGGAATTGGTGGATTGGAGAATTGCATGCCCTTGTTGTGACAGGTTTTTCCATGAATTCTGTTTGGGGAACTGGGTCTTGAACTCGGGCAGGAGAACATGTCCTATGTGTCGCACTGTGATGCTTCCTTTCCTCAGGGGTGTGCAGGAAGTCCCATTCGCGCGGGATGGTCAATATCCTCTTGCTCTCAGTAAGGCAGGGCTGGATTTTCGGCAAGTGGAATTCTTGCTTGAGGTGGGCGCACAAAGGCAGCAACAACATGTCTTTTTGGCCCAAGAGGATGAGATGGACAGAATCCCTAACCTCATAATTCCTTATGGGTGGGCAGACTTTCGTAGAAGGCAGCATCCTCCCCACCCTAACCCGGTCCCCCAGCACAACGTGCAGCCTGGGTAAAGTAGCTCAATCATTCAAAACTAGTAGTTGGGAACTCATTTTTATTGACTTCACAACTTGTTTGCAGAAATGAGTGCTATTAAGCTTTGAATGCTTTGGAAGCGAGAGTGTTCTGGTGATGCAAATATTTACTGAATTAAGCAATTTTTATGATTTTTATAACAAAATATTAACTGAATTATTAAGCAATTTTTATCTTAAGAATGATTTTTTCACTGCAATACAATAAAGGAACTGAACTTAGAAATAATATTTTTTAAATTGGGTTTCCTCTAAGATGTTTGACTTATTGTCAATTTACAGCATGTAATAGTATTTTGTTCATGTTTTGATGGAGAGCCAGACCACATTGCCAAGAGTGCAAACATTAAATGATTTACTGCTAATGTTTTGTGCTAACCTACCAAAGCAAGGCACTGGAATATTAAGCTTGATATTTAGCAGTGTAAAATCATTTAGTGTTATATGTGTTGATCAGCTCTAGTTTGTGTGGTCTGCAGAGATTAATGTCTTTGCCTATAAAAAAGACATCTATTTCTGGATTTGTCCTGCTTTGCATCGCTATTCTAGCCATTTCATAGTCTATGGTTTTTACAATTCAATACAATGCAAACTTGAAAATATGTAAGATATATATGTATTATACAAGATATAATTATAATAATAATCTATCTATTCAATGTAATTAATAACTCTTGAACTGATTAATGTTCTTTATTAATGTCCTTAGGCATTGTAACTAGTTTAAAAGAAAAAGAAACAAAGTTGTTCTTACCCAATGTCTTTGTCAGTCTTTGTTTAATATTTATCTCTCCGTTTTGTTGGTTTTTTTTTACCACCTCGGGATCAGGGAAAAGTGGTCGCTTACGAGAACGTTGGCACAGGAAACCCAAACAATTATAATCGCAGCAGAGGAGGCCCAAATAGTTCAAAACACGTTCGTATTTCAGTGCATAACATCTTTGAACAATTATACTGCTCTAGTGTGACGCACTTAATCCGTGCAACAACTGTACAAAATCTAAGTAGTACTAATTTGTACTAAAAGTGGACCTGAAGCAAGATGGTATTGAATGCTTCATTTGTATCAATTCAATTTAATTTGCGTATCGCATGCACGATTTACTAAATACAACTAAAATAGAACTGTTTAGTTTGTACAGTTGCACGGATTAAGTGCGATCACTCTACTAAAAGTTATTTGATCATAATCATGGTTACAATATTTAAAGAGCACTTTACAGTGTGGCAAAAATGCTTAATGCACAATACAAAGTTACGCGAGCGGAAGATGATCGTATACGAGAGTGGTCGTTCAAAGAGAGTCAACTGTAGAGTGCACGCCAAAAAAGCGTGAAACAATTCTTAACTATCAACATCTAATAAGATTTAGTTATCAACTAACTAAATATTCACTGGCGCATGAACACAATGCCAAAAAGAAAATTTTCTTTGTTTATACGTACCTCACTGAATTCTTAGGCAGTTGATAACAAAATCTTATTAGGCGTTAATTAGTTAAGAATTGTTTCATGCTTATGTGGCGTGCACTCTAAAGTGTGCTTGTACTTACAACACGTATCATCTACATAAAACATTGAAAAATAAATATGGTCCAAGAGGGGAGGGGGGTGGGGGGGGCGTTTAATAGACAGGCGTTTATTAGGTAGAGGCGTTTATTCTAAAATATAACTGTAACAATGTAGTGTACCGCATGTTATGGTTCTAACTTCTACCTAAAAGAAAAAGCGAAGTAGGCCTTGTGGTTCCTGGGCGCTACACTGCTAGTACAAAACGCAATAAATTTCAGATATAAGAAGCAATGAAATCAGAAGAATTAAAGAACTCATCCTCATTTTGAAATTGAACAATACGTTACCCACTTACCAGGGTTAATGAAGCAAGAGGACAAATTAAGTGATCTTTCGTCGGAATAAAAAAGATGAAACTAGGTAGTAAGAGTAACAAATTAAGATAGACTAATAGGAGAAAGGTAGGCAAGGTAACGCAGTATACAGAAGGATAATAAACGTGCTAAAAAGGGAACAAAGGACAAACAAATTATCTGAAAACAAAGCGTTCATTCAACCCATGGGGATTGTAAGTGCCCAATAGATGAATAAGTCGCATCTCCACCAAGGTTTTTCTTTTTCATAGTTTTGAATACATTACACCAATACTCGGTGGTGTAACTGTGTAAGACGCGGCGCATATAGACTGGACGGTTCGGGATCGTTCGCGAGGCAGTCATATATCAAAGATCTTTTTTCACTAAATTAATCCTATCAAATTAAATTGATTGTTTCTAATACTTTGATTATCATTAGCTAGTAGTAGTTAGAAAAATGTAGAACCCGCTAAATATCGGGGAAACCCGCCCACAATGCCGAAAGTAGCGCTTGGATGTGGGAAACCAAGTTGATTACTGCTCATGCTCAGATGGAGATATCTTCATCAATTATTCATTTTTGATATTTTTTTATTTATTTCATGTTTATTGTAGTTTCTTAGGTTTGGGTTTTAGAAGTCATTTAAAAAACTCGTAGTTCGTGTTTTATCGTGGTTATAAACACTCGGCCTTCGGCCTCGTGTTTTATCTCACGTTCTAAAATATTTAGGATACTACGCGCGCTGTGATTGGTCGAAAACCATGTTTGATTACAGTATCAAAACACGCTCGCGCGCGTCAAAAATTTCTTTTTTCCCGCCATTTGCATTTGTTGTTGTTATCATTCATTTTCAAGAAAAATGAACGAAGAAATGCCTATTTATGATGTCCTCTGGGATGATATCCCAGAAGAAGAGCTATCAAACGTTTTAGAAGCTACAGAAGCTGCAGACAACTGAAATGTAAGGAGAATTCATCGTTTCATATCGTATCAAAAGTCAGAATTCTTTACAATTTTCGTATTCTTTTAATTTTAGAAAAGAAATAAAAGACGAAATTCCGTGTTTGATACTCTGATCAAAACACTTGGGATGTAGGGAGAGCACTCGAAAAGCTGGAAACCACTCCGCTACGCGTCGTGGTTTCCTACGCTTCTCTCGTGCTCTCCCTACATCCCGCGTGTTTTGATCAGAGTATCAAACATGGAATTTCGTCTTTTATTCCTTAATTTAATCACACAGGAATGATAAATAATAACTATAGTAGTATACAAATGACAGTTCTGCGCCACAATTTGGGAGGTTTGGGAGGTTTTCGCCCGTGAGCCCGCGAGGTCCCGTTCCTGGGGCAACGGCAGGTGTCAAAAACCTATTTTGAGAGGTTTCGCAGGGGTCGGTAGGTTTGTTCTGAGGTTCTCGATGGGTGCAATCCTTGGTAGGTTTGTTCTGAGGTGCTGTTGTCTAGCAAAAATAAAATAAAACCATTACCTTGAGTGTTTTTTGAAGCGCAAAATCGCTGTTAAAACTTTTATTGATTAATGAACAACACAGCCGGCCGAGTTGGTTTATTTTAATTATAGCCATAGAACATGCAAAGGACATTTGATTGACATCAATATAAGTGGTTTTCACCTGTTTTTCTTTTATTTTTTATTCTATCCAATCACATCTCGTCGGCGGTCTCAGTATATTAGCGATGTYGGAAATTAATTTTTTTCCTGGATTACCTCCTTCTAAACACTATGACTTTCTTTCATTTGGAAAGCGRCCACCTGCTCCAATATTTTTTCATGCATAATAATTTTCCTTCTATCCAATCACATCTCGCCGGTTTCAGTATTGAATAAATATGATCGTTKAAGGAGTTTGTGTTCACAACCCCAACCATTTCAAAGCAGATTTCAGATATGGAGTTCAGTTCGCAAGAATGGCAATCGCGTTTAGCCAACCTTTTCAATTCTTCCATCCCAGATATTCAGGTATTTATTTAATCYGTTTGAGATTCATTTCGATTATTTTTTCTTTATCGCTTTTCTTAATTTCAGGATCAGGGACCTTCTTTGAACGATCACAACGTTGTTGAAAACACTGTTGTTCAGCATCAAGAGGTTCGCTCGCAAACACGTGTCTTTGATGTGTTCCTTTCTTCAATCTTTGACTCTTCAATTSATCTTCTTTTTAGGTTCCTAACACTTTCGAAACATTAGATCTTGAAATGATTGCTGATCCATCCGCCGAGGTTTGTTTTTGACTTACTTCAATCATCATTTTTSGCAATTTATTCTTATTCTTTTGAATTTTCTTTCGTTGTTTATTCAGCTTTATCAACTTGATGAAAACATATTGAGTGGAGCGAATGCGGTCTGCGCACCACAAGAGGAACAACAAAACAGCAAAGTAAGTAAGTTTCTCACTCAATTRACTTCAACAAATTCTCATTGTCATTATCTTCTTTTATAGAGATTCCATTGCGATCAATGTGATAAAACGTTCGCCCATGACAGTGCGCTGAAACGACAYATTCGTCAGAAGCATCAAATGACAAGTAAAATGAGTTGTTCCAAATGTGGAATCAAAATATCCAGGCGCGACAATTTAAAAAGACACGAGCTGAAATGTATTAAGGGAAAAAGACGTTCAGAAGACGATGGCAGTCAAGCTGAAAGGAAAAACACCCGATCAGAGCAAGAAGTAATTGAATACGAGGTAAATACTTGGTGTTATTTTCCACAATCCTATTTTTTAAGCCTTCCCTTCACACAAGTGTTCGTGAGCCTTCAATCTTTGTGGTCACCGCTTTTCACAAAGGAAACTCAATTTCGACAAAGGAATGCTATATCATCCCATTTTTCAATTCACAATTGGGAATGATATTAAAAGAAAACYATTTTTGTTGCAAAAACAATCATCACTAGGCAATGCATTTAATTAGGGTTGAGATCAAAGGCGGATGAAATTCTAATCATTTTTTCTTGCAGTTGGCAAATATCCCTCAAGAAATGTACAACAGATACGATGGACCATGGTTGAATGATGAAGATTTGGAGGTAAGACTCTAAAATTCTAAACACAGGAAGCCCATCTGTTCCTAGATTATCCTCAATAATATAAGTAATTCAGATTGTTTCATAGAATTTACAAGTTGGTGGTGGAGACGAAGAACAAGAGGAATGCGCTCTCGAACAAAATGCGACTGTATTCAAATATATTCCCAACAAACACGAAAAAACGGATTTACTCCTCACCCTGCAAGGAAAAAAGGAAAAGATTATAAAACAGATCCAAAAACAACTCAAAAAGCATCGAGGTATAAAGTGGTCCCTATGTTCCAAAGTGAGAATGATCAAATCAGCACCCGAAGGAGAAGACCACATTG